TTTTTTTTTTTACACAAGGGATTAAATATCTGTTTAACTGAAGAAAAAAAAGTCCTTGAAGTCTAAGAATAAAGACTTTTTCCCTTACAGGACCTGTTTTGTTACCATCTGAGCATGCTTAGTACAATGGCTTTTGCTTCCTGGTATAGTCAGAAATAAGGGGTATCACCTATAGTCAATGCAATACGTGTAGCAGTAAAAGCTAGGCTGTTAGTCCATGAGCTTTTATGCTACAGTGCATTTTCTCACCTTGACAGCCTATGTGAAGAACCCATAACCAAACAGTGTGACATCAGAAATGGAGAGTTGATGGAAAATGGAATAGAAACATGGCGAAGGAAAAATAGACAAAATATGTGAACAGAAAGCACAAGGCTACAAAAGAAATTAATGACTCAGAAAGAATACTGCAGCAAAACTGAAGTTGCATGGCGCTCATCATCTACCAATTGGGGGCTTAAAACAAAAATAACAACTAAAAGGCAAAGGAGTCATAATGCAAAGCACCCCAAAATATAAAGCTGTACAAAAGCAGAAGCCACTTCCATGTTAAAATGCAATGGCTACACAGCACTCGCTCTATAAGGGTCATCTCAGCTAACATGGAGGTTATGTACTTTATCTTATTTCTCTGCTGTCATTGGTCTCCAGCTTTGTCATCTTGTAAGGCAGGCTGTCCAAGCAGCAGCCCACGGGCCACATGTGGCCTGCAACAGGCTAATGTGGCCTACAGACTCCTGGCTGGCCACTGCTCCCCTTGCTCCTTTGGTTGCAACCTGCTCCCCTCATTCCTTTGGACGCAACCTGGAGGTGGGGTGCTGCCCACACAGCGTGCCTGGCTGGAGTGGAGTAAGGCTGCAAGCAGGGCTGGGAAAAGCTGGGCTGCCAGTGCAGTGGAAGACCATGGCAAGCCACCCCCTTAGTATGCAACCTGCATGGCATGTGGCTCCCAGCTTCCGAGAAGTTTGACTGCCCTGCTGTAAAGTATCTTACAGACCAGCCTCTTCTACTAAACACCTAGGCCCCAAAACAAGGCAGAGGATGCTATAAGGGAAGATTCCATGTAGTACAGCAAAGAACCTCTAGTACATTCAAGGATAGGGGTTGGCAATTGTTTAGAGTGGAGGGCTGCTTAACGAGTTTTGGCAAGCTGTTGAGAGCCACAAGCCGACGAGGTGCCCTGCCCCCTGGTTGCCATCTTGGGACCAGAAATCCCAGCCCCTAGCCCCTGACCTTTGCCACCAGAAGTACTCCTTTTGGGAAGGTGGTTTGCTATCTTGGAACCAGAAAAAAAACAAATTATATACTAAAAATCAAACATTGACAAGAGCATCATTTGATTTTATTTAAGAAATGTTTTTGTCATGATTTGCATGTGTTTTGTTGCATATATAGAGATGATTGCATAATAGCTCAAAATGAAGTCTTACTCTTGTATACTGTGGGTGGGGGAGTGTAGAAGGGTAAGGGTGGGTGGGTATGGGGCTTGTAGAGGGCTATAGGTGTGTGTGTGGATGTGTGTGTATGTGGGGTGTGGGGGTGTGTATGGATATGGATGGATGGGTAAAGGAAGTTTGTGGGGGGGTATTTGTGGGGACGTGTGGGTGCGTGTGTGGGTAGGTATGGGGTTTGTGGGGGGATGTCAGTGCATTTGTGTGTGGTGGGATGTGTGTAGCAATGCATGGGTCTCCCCCCAGATGTGCGTGGGTATATATGGGGGAAGGTGTGGGTGCGTTCAGTGTTTGTGGGGTGTGTGATTGTGTATGGGGGAGGGTGTG